TTATCAAGGGTTTAGGAGGAGGGGAGCGGTGAGGGAGGGAGAAAAATGAGCTGACACCAAGGGCTCAAGTAGAAAGCAGGTGTTGTGAGAATGATGAAGTCAACATATGTACTAATGTGCTGGACACAAATGATGTGTGTACGGATTGTGATGAGTTGTATGAGCCCCTAATAAAATCATTATTTTAAAAAAAAAAAAAAGTAGGGTCTTGGAAGCCCACAAGAAGAGTCGTTAGGAATAGGAATTGACTTGATAGCAGTGAGTTTGGTTTTGGAAGTGTGGGAATTAAATTACTTCTAAGCGATAAACTTTTCATTTACTCTGAGCAGCTGTTGACTAAAAGTATTTCTATAATTCAGTTTTAGGTAACATTTTCTCAGTTGGAGCAATTATGGGGAGGTACTTCTTGGTTTCTTTGGGTTACTGATAGTTATTCGAATATCTTAAATGGTCACCCATAAAATCAAGATCTGAAATAAGTCGTCATATCAAATAACTGACTTGTAAACTGCTATTTTCTCACTTGAAATGAAAAAAAAAAAGAACAAAAAAAACTGCCTTTAGTAGACTACTTTTTATTTTCAGTTTTAACTCTCCAATATAAAAACGTTTATTTGTGTGTAAGGAAAGGGAAGATAACTTTGAAAAGATAGATCACTATGTCCTTTTAAAAAAATTTTAAATCGTTGGTCATTGTCAAGATCTGAATTACTGAGCTTCCTTCCCTTTATTTTTAATAAAAATGATCAAATAAAGCAGCTCAATATAACAATGTAGTTTAAGCAATCTGAATGACAATAGCTTGCTTTTTGGAGATGGATGCTTCTTGAATTGTAGAGCACTAGGCAATCCAACTTGATATGAGCTGAAGTAATTGAACTGTTAGATATCCGAATATATGGGTTTTTAACACTCTATAGGGTTACCATGAGCAGATTCACTTTTCTAGCTGTTAGATAATTTAAGGGATTTTTAGGCTGGAAACTTAAATTGTTAAAAGCTTAGCAGAGACACGGGTGGATGTATTAACGCCATTTGGATCTGCGGGTATCTAATCATCAGAACAGGTAACACTTGAGAGTGGTGCTGTGCGTGAT